CGCCCCACTTGGCAACCTAGGCCTAGATGTCCTCCTGAAGACACAGTGAGCTCTGTCCTGCGGGACCTGTCCTGGGCTGACACATTAGAAAGGACATTTCTATGGCGCTGGGGCTTTAGACAGCCCCTGGGCAGCAGAGGGAGCTCGAGGGCCCCAGGCCTCGTTGCAGGGAGGCACACGAGTCCAGAAGCAGTCATGCCCAGGTCCCCATGGCTGCCGCCCAGTGGCAGGAGCCCTGCTGGCCAGGAGGCTCCATAACTCACTACCCTTTGGGCAAAGCCTGCTTGGCTGGCCAGGGCGGGGCTGCTCCCCAGGCCCTGTGGGGTTAATGCCTGGCCACACCCTGGGCTGTGGATGTTTTTCCTAAGCACTGGATTTTTCCTCTCCCCTCCCTCTGCCTGGGGCTGCTCTACCACTCTGGCCAACAGTGGCATCCACACCACTCCCCAGCCTGCTAACAGCCATCTGTCCTTTCTGCCAACTCCATTTTCCCGTCATTAGTGGGCCGGGGCCAGAGCAGCAGACAGGCCAGCTGTGTACTTCCCCCTCAGTCCTGCTTGCTCCTTCCGCTGCCTCTTCCAGGAGGCCAGAACCTGCTTGGGCCAGGGTGCAGTCTGTGCAAGTCCTGGGCCCACAGCTTCAGTCTTGGTGCCCTCAAAACTTTGGGGACAAGGACCTCTGGCCTCAGTAGGTCATGGCAGCCTGGGCCTCAATTTCCCCATCTAGAAAATGGGACCAATATTTTACAGGAAGCCCACAACTTTTATAGAAACTTCCACTGTCCTATGTTTCCTCTGCCCAAGCAGGCTGCCCTTCCCTGTAACGCCTTTATCTTGTCCTGAGTGACGCTGCCCTGGGGAGGTGTTTCTGTGGACAGGAACATGCATGTAGGCTGAGGTCAGGATGAATGGGGGTCCAATTAGGGCAGAAGTCTCCCAGAGGTGAGCCCCTTCTGCAGAGTGCCCTTGGTCAGCTACGAGAGAAACTCCACCCCCCAACAGTTTTTGTTTTGTTTTTGTTTTTGTCTTGTTTGCTTTTGTCCTTCTATGACAAGGTTTCACTATGCAGTTCAGGCTGGCGGGAATTCATTTTGTAGCCCAGGTTGGCCTTGAACTCACAGTGATCCTCCTGCTTCAGCCTCCTGAGTCCTGGGATTATAGGTGTACACTACCACCCCTGGCCTAGGAATGGGTTTCTGAAAGCACAAACATTTGCCCAGAGATGTGTTCCCCAGCTCCCCAGAGAGCACTGCAGGGACACACCCTTCTCTGGGGCAAGGGCCCAGCCCACAGCATGGCCGTAGCTTTAGGCTTTGGTAGACATTTCTGGAACATTTCAGAACCAAAATATTTTTCAACCAAACCTTTTAGAAACCACTTTCAAAGCCAGCCTACTTTGAAACTTGACACTTGAAAACCTATTCCGCAAGTCTGAGCCCAAGTTTCAAAGCCCAAAACTTCTGGAAAACTCCTGGCAGCAATACTTTGGAAGGAGACCAACTGAAATGGCAAACAGTTCCATCCAGATTGCTTTTTAAGGCCATTTTTAATTTTTTTGAGACAGTCTATGTGGTTCAGGCCAGCCTAGGAATCACTATATAACACAGGCTAGCCTAGAATTGCTGTCAAGCCTCCTGAGACCGATAGGTGTGGGTCACCACACCCCATTTAAGCCCCCAAGTTTTACAAACTGCCTTGAAATAAAAATGCTTTCATCAAAGCCAGATTTTTTTTTTTTTTTTTTTGGTGGAACCGGGGATTGAACTCAGTCCTTTGCGCTTGCCAGGGAAGCACTTATTCCACTGAGCCATCTCCCCGGCCCCTTAAAGCCAGATTTTGCACTAGAATTTTTCTGAGAAGAAACCAGGATGGGTGGCAGTCCTTGAGCAAGTTCTTGCTTGAGCGGTAAAGGAATCCATGTTCCTGTCAGAGGCCAGGAGGCTCCTCGATTTTGTTCTGTATGTTTCTCAAAACCTCTCCTCCACCTAGCAATCTCCCCCAAAGTCTTCCCAAAGCAGTCATCTGAGCGTCTGTATCAGTGTCGCAGCCCTTTGAGCCTGACACTCTCTTTTGGAAGGGATGTTCCCTTGTGGCCCGTATGTGGCTAAGGCTGCAAGGCCCAGGCCCAGGGGTGCCGTGGGGTACCGGGAGTCTCACTCTGCCTGTGCTTTCACATCCTACAGTTTGTTCCTCCAAGGCCACTGAGTGCCACTGTGAGCAGTGCCAGGTGGCACAGGTGACCCTGAGGACACTGTGGTCAGTGAAACAAGCCAGACACAAAAGGACAAGTTCTGTGTGGCTCCACATCCAAGTCCCCAGAGAAGTCAGATTCCTACAGACAGAAACAGGGTGGTAGGAGCTGGGGAGGAGGATGAGGAATTAGTGTTCGGCGGGTGCGGCTCCAGGGTGGGAAGGTGGGGAGTTCTGGGGGTGGAAAGCAGCGACACCGGCACACCAGTGTGGATGTGCTCAGGGACCCTGGATGTACACTTACACAGGGTACAACTGCCCGGTATGTGATGCGCATATTCCTAGTTTTAGAACTGAAATGAACACCAAGGGGAACCATCCCTGCTACCAGCCCCCGTTCATCCAAGAAAATGTCATGGTGCAATCACCTTCCCTTTTCCTGTGAGACATCCCTTCCTTAGGCAGGAGGGCCTGCTATATAACAATAAAATATAGTGGCTTTATTTTTTTTTTTTAATTTTTTTTTTATTTATTTGAGAGACAGAGAGAGAGAGAGAGAGAGACAGAGAGAGAGAGAGAGAGTGTGTGGTGTGTGTGTGTGGCCAGCTCAGCCCACCAGGGGGCGGGCGGGACTGGCTGGCATGTGGTGCTGGGGGTTTGAACCGCAGTCCCTGATGCTTTGCCAAGCTTGTTCTAAGTAGGTGCTTTAGACCACTGAGCCATCTCTCCAGCCCCAAAAATTCAGGTTTATCTTTTTCTTTGGGTCTTCATTTCCTGTTGTAAGTATTATTATCATCATTTTTTGTTTGCTTGTTTTTCGGAACCAGGGATTGAACTCAGACCCTTGCACTTGCCAGGCAAGCGCTTATTCTACTGAGCCAGCTCCCCGGCCTAGTGGCTTTATTTTTATCATCTTAGTGAAAAAAAAAAAAAAAAAAAGACTTTCAAGGTCTCAACTTCAAACTGCAAGACTAGCTGTCCTGCCTTCCACATCTGGGAGGTCCTGATGCTAATGAGCCCCACCTGCCCTCTCTTGATCCCCATGAGAATTTTCTTTTCTTTTTTGGTGGTACCAGGAATCGAACTCAGGACCTTGTGCTTGCCAGGCAAGCACTTATTCCACTGAGCTATCTTCCCAGCCCCTCCTTGAGGATTTTCTAGGGGGCTGGGTCAGCCTCCTCGGAGTGAGGTGTAGGAGCTAACTTAGCACAGGGCTCCATGATTTGAACCTTAGAAGCGGAACACTGTCCAGAACCCAGAAAGGCACAACTGAGTTATTAGCTGGTACTTAGAGAAGGCAGAAAGACAGTGTCTCCCCTCCTCTATCCAAGGATTTTAAAGTGCTTCTAGACTGAGGCACAGCTAGGTGTAAGACAGCAACCTCACACCCTGCAGAAACGAAAGTGCAACAACACAGCTGTCCCACCACCCCAAGACAACTGCAGGAGAAAGAGTTGTACCAGTTTCTAGGTCATCCTTTAAACTCTACCAGACAGAACTGAGTGTGAAGCTCTTCTTTTGCGAGTCTTGCATGCACAAAAGTCTACCTACTAGTGTGCTGATGCATTTCCCACCCAAAGAAGGTCACAAGAATGCCATCTCACCAGCTGGCTCACAGGCACCCTTTTGTGGGAACCCCAGGGTGGGCATGGGCCTGAGCACTGTCCCACTCACCTGAGGAACCTTCATCCAAAGCCCTGACTCCAGCCTGGGCTTGTGGGGATGAGCCAGGCCAGGAAATGCGGGTCAGGACCGGGTTTAGGACAAGCTCCACTCAGACACCTTGGCCGGGGCTACCCATACCCTCTTCTCAAACCTTGGCAGGAATACTGTCAGCCCCAGCTGAACATGTGAAGAGCAGAAGGAAGGAAGGCGGTGCCCATTCATCACTTCCAACCAGCAGACCTCATCAGACAAGCATGACGCTGCTGTCACAGAGAACAAACGCTCTTGAAATGACACCCAGGATGGCCATGATGAGTCATCCAGGCCTAACCAGCTTCCCTCTCAGTGATGCAGGAAGTAATTTCTGAGGAGGAAAATCCCTCACATTTTCCAGTTAGCCTCCACTGGTCTGAACCAGAATCCCGGGGGTGGTGGACCTGGCCCCCATCATTGGGTCTTGGTAGAGTAACCTATTATTTATACTATTTTAGAAAGCTAACAAATCACCAGTGTCCCAGAGAATGTTGACTCGCACCCTCAGGGGTCACGTGACTCTCCATTAATGCAATGTCTTCAGTCCTAGTTTATCAAATGCCAAGCTATCAATGAACAGACTGGTGTACCAGTCAGGATCCTGTATGTTAAATGCCAAAAATCCAACCCACATTAGCTTAAGCAAGTGGGTACTTATCAGACCCCACACCTGAAAAGTGTAGGTGACTCTGGCTTCAGGAGCTGGCATCATTTAGAGCTCTATGCTCCCTGCCTTACTTTCTTCCCTGCCCGACTGAGTTTTGAGATGGCACTTCTAGGTGGGGCACAGCTGGCTGCCAGCTCTCTGGTCAAGAGCTGGATGGAGCGGGAGATGCAGCACCAAGGCGGGCACAGGTCCCCCGTGGCTGTCAGCAGGCCCAGTCCTGTGGCTCGACTGGGGGCTTGATGGTACCCTGAAGGGGGGTGCTTCTGTGCACCATCACATAGCACTCAGACCCAGTCTGCTGGCTGTGGGAACAGGAGGTAACACAGCCTGGAGGGCTGAGAAAAGTTAAATCCTTCTAAGCTTGGAGACTGGTTAAATTTATCTATGTAATACTATTTTTAAAATTATTTATTTTTTTGGTAAGAAAAAACAATTCAATTTCTGTACAGCCTACTGCACATTGTAGGCCAGAGACACGGCAGAGAATCAGAGGGAATGAAGTCTTCCCTCCAGCACGGTGGGGCGGCCCTCTTCCGGAGCCATCTCCACATGTCTCGGCCAAGCTGGTGGCCCTGTATAGGAGCTGGGCGGGCCAGTGAATGTGGCTGGCATCTGCTCTAACAACCCATGAAAGGAAGGCTGTGATTTTTAATATGGTGGAGACTGAGTCCAGGGTCACCCAGCAGCCACACACTTCACAGGCTTTGATCCCTCCTGGAAACGGGACAAGCAAGGATACTGCGCTGCAGACATGCAGCACACGCCCCAACAGAGCACTACCAACACTCCGGGGGCTCGGCAGTGCTGACCAAATGCCATGAATGAAAAGACACTGCCAGTGTGCTGCTGACAGCAGGAGTCTATGCAGCAGCACCATCCAGCGTGGTGGCAAGGTAGCCTACAGGAGTGTGGCTCGCTGCTTGGGGGCTTCCTAAGGTGCCTTCTGGAGCTTCACTCAAACCCCACACATACACCTGAGCATTCAAGGCCAGCTGTGTCCTGAGGGCAAATGGCACTGGAGCTGAACCAGCCAGTCTGCAAGACGGTGGCACCTAAGCTTCCCAATGACAACAGTACCCATGGAAACAGTACCCTTGACAACCTCCTGCCACACCGCCCCTGCTGACTAGGATGAAGACAGCTACTACTGTCTAAAGGACAGCTGGGGTGGGGAAGTTTGGCCTCTCCTGTGGCCCTGATCCAAAGACAGCTTCTCTATGACCCATCCTGATCTCAGACAGAAAGCCCCGAAGATCTGGCGGCTACACCTTCCAGGCGCATCGTGTACATGAGGGCTTGCACTTTTAAAGGATCTGCCTGCCATCCTTTTAAAAATGCATGCAAGGACTGCGCTGTGGTCTGGCTGTGTCCCCCAGGGCCCCTGTGCTGATGCTCGGTTCTCCAACGGGTGGAGCTGGGGAGTCCTGGGGGGGCCCATGCCCTTGAAAGGGGCCCCAGGACCCCTGCTGCGCTCTGATCACCTATCTGGTGACATAACCCCTGCCACTGCCTCTGCCCTGAAGTCCTCGCCAGAGCCAAGGTGACGCTGGCACCATGATGCTGCACTTCTGAACAACGGGCTCATAAAGCTCTTTTCTTATGAAAGCACCCAGCCCACTAGTGAAAACTGACACCAGCCTGCATTCAGCTTCAGGCTCCTCCTCCCCACTGAGACACCATGAAGCCTCCTCCTCCCAGTGACTGTGTGAGGCCTGGGGTACCTATTCACTACTGTCCCCACCCACTGTGTGCGCCTGGGGTGCAATCTGAAGAACCACAGAGGGGTGAGAGCGCAGCTGCCACAATTTACTCTGGCTTTCTTCCACTTTCATATTAAATATCTGAAATATATTAATCTTAGAAAACAACATCAACACAGTGCTCAGTGAACACAGGCTGTGGAGTGAAGGGCAAGCCCAGACTGCAAAACCGTGAGTGCTTTAAAACCTGGAACATGTGAAGTCAAGTCCAGACCCTCAGCAGCCTCCCCTGAGGGAATGTGCCACTACGCACAAGGGCAAGGAAGCAGAAGAGACAGCTCGGCCCCAGCACCCTGCTTGGATGTGGCACCAGGCCCCTATGAGCTTTGGGTGACAGGACTGGCATGACTCTTGGAGTGGGCCTCAGTCTCTGAGGAGGTGTTCGGGCTTGGGGTAGCCAAAGAGAACAAAATCTGCCTCATAGAGTTTGTAGAGTTGCCGCCGCCAGGCCAGTGGGATCTTGGCGAACCAGTCCTCTTCCCAGCTGCTGGCAGTTCTGTTCCGGTAGCTTGGGGGGAAGTGGACCTGTGTGTCCACCTTGAGGAGCCGCAGCAGCTGGGCGGCGTCCTCATCCAGCGTCTCTAGTTTCCCCACGAAGTCATAGTCTATTTGGCACGGGTGGCAGAGGCGATACACTTGCCGCCAGTGCTCGTTGAAGGGCGCCAGCTTCTCGGTATGGGGGTCCAGCAGATACTGGATGAAGTTGGTGAAGGTGACCTTGAGGCCGGCGCTGAAGGCCTCACTCACCGAGGTGGGCAGGCTGGTGCGGTTGGCATAGAGCCGCAGCATGGGCGCTGCAAACTTGCGGTAGAATTCCTCGTTCTCCAGCTCGAACTTGCTGCGGAAGGCAGAGATGAGCCGCACAAAGGGGTCGCGCACAAAGAGGAACTTGGTGTACTTCTTCAGCTTGATCTTCATGAGGTGCCGGGAGAAGCGGCCATAGCGGCGCCAGAACTTGTTGAAGGTCAGGTGCGTGCTGGTGTTGTGCACGCGCTCGCGCGGGATGTCCAGCGGGTCGTGGTAAGGGGCACCGCGGTCCAGCAGGCTCTCGCTTAGCACGATCATCACGCGCTTCCAGTTGGTGCAGGCCACCTTGGGCACGTAGCAGTAGATGACGCCATGCCGGTCATCCACGATGAGGTGGTTCAGCTCGTAGTTGGGGATGTCGTCGAAGGAGCGTTCCTTGGTGGGGAAGGCCAGGCTGGAGTTGGCGCAGAAGTGGCGTAGCACGCTCCTTCGCTCTGCTTGCTGTTGGCCTGTGTTGGGGTGCTGCTGGGCGTTCTGGGGGGACCAGTCGTAGCCTCTCACGCTCTCTTCCATGTGGCTCTGTGCTGGCTTGCTAGGGACCAGCACTGGGGACTGCTTGGTCTTTTTCCTGGAGAATTCACTTTGCTTTGTATCAGAAGCGAGCAGCTTATCTAGAAATTCGTCCACATCGGAGGCAAATTCCTTGTCCTCCCCCTGCCCGGGGGTCGGGAGGGGTGCCAACACGTGCGTTCTGGACAAGGAGGTGTGCAGGTAGAAGTGGGCAGTGCCCACGTTGTCCCAGTACACAATGATGAGCAGGACCATGAGGACAGACCCCAGCGCCAGCCACAGCCGGAAGAGCCGGGGCTTGGTCATGCTGCCCAGCCAGGGCTGGGCCCGCGCCTGGACCCTCTCACTTCAGCTTCACGAAGAGCCAGGGCATCGCTCTGAGGCGAACCTGGAGGGGCAATGACACCACATTAGCACCGGACGGGCTCACACTTCCTCTTACCCCCACCCTCTATGCTTCTGATTCTGCCTTGTTAGGTCTCATGAGGACTTCAACTCCTCTGTGTAAGGTGACTCATGCCACTCAGAATGACCCACCGCACAAGTGTAACCAACATGACAACCAGATCTCCTATCCCTGTACCACACAGAGGAAGGACTCACAGGGAGGAGGTACTCTCTGGAAGGAGGAAGAAGAGCAATGAAACCCGGCCACCAGGAGGTTAATGCCAATGCTTAGGAAAATGCTAAGGATGCCCCGTCCCTAAAACACCCTTCCACCGTGTACAACTGTTAGAGAGGCTCTGAGGTGGCTGCATGTGAGGGGAAACACCATCCCTAGATGGCACAACAACCTGCTTCCTGCTGGGTCTCCCACCATGTACAGGGCCGAATATCCAGCTAGTGAGCCTCGGCCCCAGGTCAGTAAGGGGGCAATGGACATGTGTGACACATGCCAGGTTCCAGGAGGCCGATACGCATTTCATGAATGGAGTTGGGAACATGTGCATGGTGGCCTGAAAACAACAGAAAACTTTTCAGCAACATTTGTTCCACTTAAGCTAAATACCAAATGCAAGCCTACTTGGGGGCCACCCAGGAACTGATCTCCCAACCCATCCTTCCCGAAACTCTTGACCCCTCAATCAGGTCCAGGTGGTGTGGGGCCAGGCAGGTAGCTAAACCTCTTCTCTTCACTCAGGGGAGCAGGAGGTGCTGGGACCATCCTACCAAGGCAGTGTCATAGAGTCCTGCAGGGTCTGGCCTCAAGCCCACTTGGCATTAACAAGGTGGAAGGAAATGGTGCAAGATGGAGGACACCGGCCCTCTGATACCCCCACCCACAGTGGGAAACCTTAGGAAGCTGGGCTTAGCCGACCACTGTCCCCATCAGCACCCATGGGGTGAAGCCAGGTGGCTGAAGGGACACTGAGAGGTGTGGGTTACCTCCACCTCCTCCCTTGTTTCTCAGCTTCCTGCTGCCACGCCATGGGCTGAAACCCCTACAGACTGTGAGCTTTTTATGAACCGCTCTCCCTTTAAGTTATGGGTGTAAAGAATTGTGTTCCAGCAACGAGAAAGTAACTAAGACAATAACTTCTTTGCAGCTATTTAAATTTGTTTTTGTTTATATTATTTTCTACTATCAGAAAAGTGTTCATTTTTTAAAAATATAGGTTGTTGTTATAGTTAACTGTGTCAACTTCAGTAAGAAATGCTCAACTAAATTGAATCAACACAATTGTAGGTGTGCCTGAGGGGATTTAATGGAGACAGAAGCCCCACCGTGGTCAGCTTGTCCCCTGGATGGAATAAGAGGGAAACAAAGAAGGAGGGCCCACTTCTGTCTCTTCAGAGGAGCTCCAGTCTTCACCTTCCCCTTGGATGTCTCCTGGCTTCCAGCACTGACCCTTCAGCCTCTGGACAGGGACTCACATGAGACACTACACTGAGCTCCAGGCCTTCGACTGGATCCTTCGGACTTCTGGCACACAGAGTCCTTTTGCACTATGCCACACCTGACTCTGGGTGGCCACTGTAAGCCTATCTTGTAAACTCTCATATACTTATATATCTTGCATTAAGTCTTGTTTCTCTAATAAGCATTGACTAATATAGATTTTGGTACCAGGAGTGGATCTAGAGAAATAGAACTGTAAAGATGAAATTCCCTAAAGGCTTTAGTGGTTCCTGGGGTTGCCTCTCTAATTTGATGACACCTAACGATGTCACGGTCTCTCCTGATACTGTGGGAAATTCTGATAGTCCCTGGTGTGAACTCCTTAAAGGAATATGCAAAGTAGATCCACTGGATTATCCTAAGTCACCACTTGAGAGATGTAAGGAATTAAAGTTTAACTAGTGTGTCCTGAAAGAGAATCTCCTTCTTTTTTTTTTCGGAACCGGGGATTGAACTCAGTCCCTTGCGCTTGCCAGGGAAGCACTTATTCCACTGAGCCATCTCCCCGGCCCCAATCTCCTTCTTTTAACTGCTGGTTTGAGACTGAAGAAACCCAAACCTAAGTCCTCATAATTTGTTTTTTTATTTTTAATGTATTTAGGACAGGGTCTAGAGGGTCTCACTACACAGATCAGACCCATAGTGATCCTCCTGTTTTCAGCCTCCCAAGCACTAGGATTACAGGCGCAGGCCACCAGGCCCAGTCTCAATCACCTTTTCAGTGCATCCTGGGAGCGGGGCCATCACTGCACACTGGGGACTAAACCTCGGCTGCTGCGCTCTGCCTAAAGTCCTCATAGCTTGATTGGCTGAAATATAGCATAAGTTTAATGCTCAGCTTTGTAGGGTTTCTGAAGTCAAAGTAAGGATACTGCTTAGAATAGAAAAGAATGGGCTCTTATAAACTGAGATGGACCTATTTGGGAGGATCCTGACAAGGCTCAGGACATTGAGTTACTTACTAGATACTAATGAGATTATTTTGCCAGAGGAAAATATTTCTCCACCCCACTGTGGCATTGGCCTCTCCTCCTATACTTGAGGAAACTAATCCTGTGTTGATCAAGCAGGATAATGCTGGTGCTCCCCAAGACCCACCCTCTCCACCCATGTTTGAGCTTATGACCAAGTTCAAATCACAGAAGGCTCCCAAGAGTGAGGTACATGGTGTGACTCATGAGGAAGTCCTCTCTTCTCCCCACAAACTTCTTGAATTTTCTGCTATGAGCAGAGGTCTGATGAGCAAGTGTGGAAGCAGATTTTATGGGTCTGTGATAATGGTGGCAAAATCATACATTTGGACCAGGCAGAGTTTGTTGATATGTGGGCCTGGTAGGTAGGAATTCTGAATTTAATGTAACTTGTGGAGTGAAAAAAGGTGTTAACAGTTTATGAGGCCAAGTGGCAGAAGTATGGATTAAAAGGTACCTCACTGTGAATGAGTTAGAGATGCTTGATGTTTATGGCTTACTGTTGATAAGGGGATTCAGATGCTTAGGGAAACAGGAATGGTGGAATGGATTTGTCATACTAAACTTAATCCACCATAGTGAGATGATCCAGAAAAAGCACCCTTCACTAATACCCCGAGAAACAGGGGTTTGTGAGAAACTTGTGAGGAGAGCACCAGCATCCCCGAAAAGCCCTGCCATCGTCTTTTCTGTATGATCTTATAGTGGGGACCACAGTTACTCATTTAGGAAGTTTAAGGGCAATGGGTTTAACTGGATCGTGAGGTGGCAGCACTTAACTGCCAAAGGCAAGGTACATACACTTACCACGATGGGCGGCAGAAGTAGAACAATGCTCAGCACGGTCTCATATGTGTAGACTTATAGTGTCGGCTGATTTGCCAGTGTTCCCAAAAGTAACACAGACAGGAAGCCTACAAAGTTTTGACTAGATTTGTATAATGAAAAGAAATTTAAGGGCAAATGTATAGAAATCTGTTCAAATCACAGTAACAGGGCCTCACGGTCCCTCAAGCAATTCACAGATTTGAGCCAGTTTACAGACCCAGAGCTCTGTGAATGAAGAGGAGCCTCAGCCTCCTTCAGGAAGGACCCTGGTGCACCACCAAACTTTATAGTCAATCTTTCTCCCATCCTTCCTCAAAGGGACCTAAGGGCTTAGACCAGGGTAACTGCACACTGGGAGAAGGGAAATGATCAGTCATTTCAGGGACTACTAGCCACTGGGTTTTTTTTGTTTTGTTTTGGGCAGAACCAGGGATTGAACTCAGGCCCTTGCACTTGCCAGGCAAGCACTTATTCTACTGAGTTAACTCCCCAGCCCCTAGACACTGGTTTTGAACTAACACCCATTTCAGAGGACCTAAAACATCATTATGTTTATCCTCTAATAAGAATCAGGGCCTACGGAGTCAGGTGATAACTGAATTTTAGCAGAGGTCCAGCTCACAGAGGAGATAATTAGGAAATATATTTAGTACTTGGCAGAATCCTCACATAGGTTCCTTAACCTGTAGCATCAGGACTTTTAAGGTTGTAAAGACCAAATGGGAGCCATTAGAATTGCCTTTATTTGTAAAATAGTAAAACAAAAATAATACTGCATCAATGGAGGAATTCTAGAGATTACTGCCAGAACCAAAGACTTGAAGGATACAGGGGTGGTTCTCACCACATATCCATTTAATTCTTTCATTCAGCCTGTGTAGAAGACAGATGCGTCTTGGATGATGACCATAGATTACTGTAAGCTGAATCAATTTGTGACTCTGCTTGCAACTGCTGTACCAGATGTGGTTTCCTTGCTTGAGCAGATTAACAGTAGATTATCTGCTGGTACTTGGTACACAGCTATTGACTTGGCAAATGTCTTCTCCTCCATATCTATCCATAAAGCCTATCAGAGGCAATGCACTTTCAGCTGGCAAGACCAGCAATACACCTTCACTGTCCTACCTCAGGGTTATATTAACTCTCCAGCCCTGTGTCACAACTTAGTTTGCATGGATCTTGATCACCTTTCTCTCCCATAACGTGTCACATTCGTCCATTCCACTGATGATATTATGCTGACTGGATCAAGTGAGCAGGAGATAGAAGCCATTCTGGATTTGCTAATGAAGCACTACAAGCTGGAGGATGAGAAATAAATCTAACTAGCTCATGCAGCCCACTCAGCTAGGGAAGGAGCAACAGATCCTCAAGATGCAATGCCTGACCATACCCACACTGCTGTGCACCCTGGCCCAACCTGAAATGGACACAAAGTCAGTGACTGACCAGGCAGCTTGGACCCTGTTGTGGACTGACCTCATCTGAGGCCTGGGCATGACCCTGAGCTACATGTCCCAGGATTCAGCTACTATCAACTACCTGTTTAAAGAGTACCTGCTAAGCCATGCTTTCGAGGGGAGCACACTCTGTGCTATTACCCATCTGGGGAGAAGTGCTGTATTGCCTACAAGCTTTGCAAGGCTGTCTGCCCTGCCCAGGCCATCATCATTGAGGCTGAGCCCA